ATGTAACTCAGCATTAACTAAGAAAACACATTTCACCCTTATTAGAAGCTGCTTCCAAACAGATATTTCAGCTTGTGCAAAGATCTTGAGTCATCCTTTTCTTTTTTTTTACATTTTCCGAACCAACAGAGAGAAAATCACCTATTTACTCAAACAAAAACTGTTAACATTAGACCCATAATCTAAGAAACCAATAGGAAAACATTTCAAAACACAGATAGACCCTTTAAATCTTTCCTCGTGAGTTCATGGAGGTTTTCTCTAGAGTGGAAAAAATATTTATGGATAAAAATATGAATGCAAAGTTGTAAGAGCCTGAAAGAAAAGCTTAAATGTAAATAGGACAGAGCATCAGCTTCAGTTACATAGATTAGCTCCTCAGCTCCTGATAATGAGGAGCTGAGGTTAAGACTGAACGAACTGATGGAAAATCAACAACAGCCTGAAAGCAGCAGCACTCAACAAGCTGAAGATGAACTGCAGCTCTTATTCACCTGAAGATGGAAGGAAGAGACATCTGAGGAAGAGTACGCCCACCGCATTTACATCACACTTTACTCCTTTCAACACTTTCAAAGTTTTAAAGTAGCACTGATTAGACAGTTTAGAGAGTTTAAAGTTTAAAAAGGTGAAGAAATGTGAAAGTTAATCTTTTCTTTTGGCTTGCTGATAAACCCGAGCAGATTGGATGGATCAAGACATTAAAGTACTTTAACCCTTTAAGTTGTTGAAAAAACACACTTTGTGTGTTTTTTAACAAAGTGTGTTAAAAGCACACTCTGTTTTTAGTATCAAATAGGTTCTTAGGTAAAATTGTTAATCAGAAACAAAGTCAAACAATAAACAAGAAGTTAGATGTTGGTACATTTGAAATGAGGTAAAATGGTCATAAGGTTTAGAACAATATTACCTCCAATAGAAAGACTGTCGCAGCTCCAGCTGTGCTATGAAGTCAGAATATATGTAGTCAGAGTTCTACCAAAAGTGGACCTTTGTAATAAATACTCATGCGAACAGTGTTGTTTAAAACACATGCACATAAACTACTCTTCACACACAGTGAAAATGTGCAATACCAAAACCGGGTCAGCCTTTCTGGTCCAGCACTGGACTGGTTTAAATCCTACTTTTTTGTGTCAGTAGCTAACTTTATATGAAAATTCCCCCAAATCACATTTGGCATTCCCCAAGAGCCCATCTTAGGACCCCATCCTATTCAACATCTACGTGCCCTCCCTAACTCAGATTTTGATTCAGAGGCACATAGAGAGTTACAAAGTCGGCCTTCTATCACCTAAAGAACATCTCCAAGATCAAAGGACTAATATCCCACCATGACAATAATAAAAAAAAATAATGTGTTTATCTTTTTTTTTACTTAGGATTGTTTACTTTTTTTTCAGACTTTATTGTCATTACACTGTCACAAGCACAGAGCAACAAAATTAACTCTGCATTTAACAAATTCTCTTGGATGTGGCAGTGGGCTGCAATTGTGCGGCATCCGGGGAGCTGTGTTGGGTTAAAGCTTTTAGCTTAGGGACGCTTTGCCTTTTAGCAAGAGAGGCTCTCTCTGTGTATTATTGGAAAGTATTGTCTGATTTTTATTTGTTAATTTTTATAGAATTTTTCTTAATTATTCTTTATTTTTATATTTGTTAGATTTAAGTTATACCTTTGTGCATTTTGGGTTTTTCTCACAATAACAAAAAGGCTACTAGACAACTTTATTTACCCCTTGGGATTACTCCATTCAGGGTCATTCTGAAGGAGTAATTCAACTTTGAGAAATTCAACTTTGTCCACATGTGTAGGGCCTCAACCGTTCCTTTTGCCTAAGGGCCCCAGGTCATCTAAAACGTGGCCCTGGTTTTAATACAGATTTACCCAGGAACATCAAATAACCAGCAAAATATCCTGCAATTGAATTCAATTCTATTCACTTTATTTCTATAG